GAAAAAAAAAAAAAAAAAAAAAAAGTACAATTTAACCTCCATTTAAATCCAGTTCTCCCAATAATGAATGTGATCATAATGTATACTTAAATTGTACCAATAAACTTAATAAAAACTAAATAAATCTAGTTCTGAAAGCTTAAGTTTCTTAAATGTTTCTCTGGAAGGAAAAATATAATTTAAAATACGTTTATAATACCATCTTCAAAAGGAAGTCCATTACTATATGTATCTTATTATGTGATAGAACAACCTATACAAAAAAGTCTTTATAAAATTATTATCAGAAGGCCAAAACAGCATTTTTCACTACCTCTAGTTATTTTCACTACCTCCTAGGTTTTTGTTTTTTTTGAGACAGGGTCTTTCAACATCATTATTATGCACACAAACACCAGTAGGTGTACCCACACCCACCTAATGGCCATCATTCAACTGGCCCCTTGACACAATCAAGAAACAAGGTGAACATGAGATATATGGGGCCACTGTTGGTGTAACATAGCATAGTGCTTTACAGTAAATTATTTTTTAATGAAATAGGAGTACACTAGAAAGTACTGATTAACAGTAAGTACAGCTGGGCATGGTGGTGCACGCCTGTAATCCCAGCACTTGGGAGGCTGAGGCAGGAGGATCGCTGTGAGTTTGAGACCAGCCTGGGCTACATAGTGAGTTCCAGGTCAGTCTCAACTACGTAGTGAGACCCTGTCTCAAAAAACTAGTAAGTACATAACCCAGTAACAGCCATTCATTGCCTCTCTTAACTACTATGTGTCATATGAAATTCACTGTGTTGTACTGTCGTGATTGTCAGTGCTAGTTTGTCTACACCAGCATCAACACAGACTGAGCAGCACACTTACACCAACGGCTTCAATGTTACTACATGACACAAGTTTTTCACCTCCATTATAAACTCAGAGGACAATAGCCATATGTCTAGTTCACCACTGACTGAGTGGTCATTGTGCATCACACAATTATTTTTTAAACGTTATAGACAAACACATTACTTTCCGTATTTCTGAAATTCTATTCAGAGTATTCACATATTTAATTTGACTCTGACACTTTATGTTGTCTGAGATTATCAATGCAAGCCTGGGAAAGTTTATTATTTTAACACGAAGTTATTTTTAAACTTTTTAACTATTTAACCACGCTAATAAGAAAGTGACATACTGTGATAAAGTACTGAGAGAAATGAAATTGAAACTGAATTCTTGGTTTGCCATGGACACACTGTCCCTGAGAAGGTCACAACGTTCATGTTCCATTTCCTTCACTGTGCATAATAGTTATGAAATAAACAATACAATACAGCTGGATTGTTATTACTGTTTTAAAGGTGAGGAAAGAAGCCTTGGCATTTGGTTTCATGAGGCCCCCGTTTCCTCACCAGCAAGTAATGTGAAGAGAATGAGCCACAGATTTTCACAGTAGAGAGGCTGAGCCTGGAAGTGCACTGAGACACAGAGAAGCGAGCAGGAAGCTCACTGGGGAGTGCTCTCGTAATGAGCGCTGTGGGGCAGAGCAGAGCCACCCTGAGCCGGGACTGGGCCGTAACAGCCACTTGTCAAGCAGTCTTTGGGTTTCGGTGGCCTTGCATGGCCTGGTCAGGCAGCTCTCTCCAGCTGAAGTAAGGCAAAGTCGGCTATAAGCATTCAGTCACGGACACTCAGGAGCCGTGGCCCTCTAGTGGGGAATCCGAGCAGTGCACCAAGGTCCATTCCTACTACCAGGGACTTTTGCAGCTCTATCTTTCCTTTCTTGTTCGTTTTACAACACGGGCATTGAATCCAGGGACTTCACATTAAGCTACATTTCTGGCCCTTTTTATTTTGAGACAGGGTCTCACTAAGTCACTAAGGTGCCTGGGCTGGGCTCAAACTTGCACTCCTCCTGCCTCAGTCTCCCAGAGTGCTGGGATTACAGCTGTGAGCTACCACTAACTGTTAGATACAAGTATAAGTCATCGGCAAAAACTCTTGTGACAAAATAATACATGCTATGCTACGGCTTTAGATGAAAAAATGTCTCCCCAAAGGCTCATGTGTTCAGAGGTGGGGCTTTGGGAACGTAATGAGCTCATGAGGACACTAACACTATTGTACTAATTACAGATGAGTTCACGGCAGAAATGCTGCTAGGAAGGGCGTAGTAAGAGGTATCAGGGCACTGGAGGCAGGATTTCAAAGGGGACACTCTAGTTCCCGCCCTTCCTTTCTCTCTGGCTCTTTTCCTCCCACTCTGCTTCCTGGCTGCCTTGAGGGAGATTTCCTCTGCCATCATGTTTCTGCGTTGGAGCCAGCCAACCATGGATTGAACCTTTGACACTGGAAAGCAAAATAAACCTTTTCCCTCTTAAGTCCTCTACATTAGGTAATTTGTCCGAGGTAACTAATAGTACATTTGTTATCAAGTATCAGGATTAACAGGCAGAACTAGTCTGTGTCGATAGAGGCCAGAAGGGGGCTTATCTCTGGGGAGTACTGACTGGGAGGGGACGTGAGAGAAGCTTCTGGGTCCTGATAACAGTCTTGCTCTCTATGTGGAATGACTACACGTACACGTCTCCATGTGCTGCACACAGGTGTGTCCGTATGCTCACACACAAACACAGGTATACTGTATGTGGTTTCCCAAAGATCTGCAAGAGAGGGGATTCCATAAAATGCTCTGCTAATATTTTCAAGGATAAGCAAATACTTGGTGCTACAATGTGGAAACTGTAAACTTTACCTGCTTATGAAGCTTATGGTTTTCTATTATTGTGATACGTTTGATAATTCTTTTGAAATTCTAATAAAATTATTTGTAATAAAATCCACTTGAATGCCTCAAAAAAATGACAAATGTGGATATCAAGTGGGCCTATGAAAAACCAATAAATAAGACTGTGACCATGGACAAACATAAAACTGCCGTCTAAAATCAGAACTACAGTGAAGATTTGGGTAAGTCACACAGTTCCTATAAAACACATTTATAAAGACTAAGTATGCTGCTGCCACCTAGCAGGCCAAACTCATTATAACTAATTTCAGCTCTGAAAGGTGATATACATCTTGTACGTACCAAACTGCATCTTTTCTGACCAAAATTATACCAAAATAAGCCTTAAAGGCTATCTTCCAGTTTGGACAACAGCTAAAAAATTCATGTACCATATCTGTGTTCTAAAACACCCAATGAGCATCCAAACAACAGTACAACTTCTATGGGGAGGTTCAGATGCTTCCTGGTACAAATCCCATGCCACTTTAAAAACATGTCTTGTGTAAGATTTGGCGCTGTAAGTTCCCACACACTCTCTAGAAAAATGACAGACAATGCCCACTTACACCCTCCAGACCTCCAAAACCCACGTGAAGGCTCAGTGCACTTTAAAGCAAGTGCTAAGTAAGACAGAGAAGTACATGGTGTGTCAGATCTGGGGTAGAAGTTTTAAGAGTGCACTTCCTCCTTTAAATGAGGTCTATCTGGATGCCAACGAGCAAGGGGCCCAGTTATCATGCTCCATCATTAAAATCTTACACTTGAATTACACCACACCTGCAATGTTTCTGGCCTACTTGGTACAATACCTTGCAAAGCCCTATGGTCCTAGCTAAGATCCTACCTATAAAACTGGAGAAAATCTGTACTATGCTACCACTTTAAGGCCAGAAAGACAAAGGCAGGCCACAATGGGTCTGGAGAACACACCAGTGCCGACACTATCAGGCTACTAACTAGATGTTCAAAGACCAGAAGAGAACTAGAGATAATATCCCTTATCTGCGCCACTTTTTCTAGACAAGAGGTATAAAATGCTATCACTTCAGTGCACTTGACCATTACCACCTATACATGGTCTTTCAGCCTCAGCACAAATGAAGTAGTACATGACCACTGGGCAAACTTCATTAACTAAGGAGACCCTCACAATTTCCTATTACCCTTACTAGCACAGATGCTGTTGCACCATAAAACAATCCCTATACCCACAGGTAAGAGTATAGCACAAAACTTGTGAAGTTTTGTACTCAAACATGGCTGAGATATATGAAAATGAAGAACCTGAGCTTACAGATGGGCTTTGGCACAAACTAGTTATAAAATCTGAGGCAGAGGTAGTGTAGCATAATTGCTATAAAACAACTGAGTGTGACCCTGGTGTGGTGGCACATGTTTGTGATACTGTCATGTCTGGGGAAGCTGAGGCAGGATGATAATGAATTCAAGACCAGCCTGGGCTACACAGCCAGTTCAAGGACAGACTGAATTATACAGCAAGACCCTATCTCAAAAATCAAAAACAAAAACAAAAAAATCTAAACAACTGTGTCAGGCACTTTGGTAGATGATTTATACGTATTACAGACACCTAGCTAGCAGTCAGAAGTGTAAAGTTCTGGGATCCAATCTGACCTGAAATACCTATGGTATAGGACAAGTAACATTTCTAGAACTCAGCCTCGATATGTGTACTGACCAGAGTGGCAGTTCCAGATTCTGTTCCACAGAAGAAAAACAGTAATATGATCAAGCAGGTATAGGGAAATGTACCTACGATAAACTACTATCCTTAGAGATTCACAAATACGCTTTAGTTAAGGCTGAGAAGTGCTACAGTTAAATGTTTGTTTCTAAATTCATCTTTTCCCAATCTAATGGGTCACTAAACTATATTCTTTTCTACACTGCAAAATAAATGCTGCTGATCCTCAAAAAGTGAAAGATAAAATTACCACATGACACAGCATGTCCACTTCTGGGTATATACCCAAAAGAGGTGAACCCAAGGACTGAAAGAGATATTTATATACCCATGTTCACAGCAACATTATTTACAGAGCCAAAAGGAAGTACCCCAAGTGTCTACCAACAAAAAGATAGTGGAGAAACAAAATGTGGTACATCTATATAATGTCATACTACTAGGCCATAAAAAAGAAACCAGTCATGATGACATACTTGTAATCCAAGGACCCTAGGAGGCCAAGGCAGGAGGACTGCCAATTTCGTGCCCAGCCCAGGCAACTTAGCCAACTAGTGACACCTTGTCTCAAGAAAATTTTAAAGGAGGGTGGGGATGCTGCTCAGTCCAAATGCCCTAGGTTTAATCCTAAGTACTGAAAAAATAAAACAAACAAACCAATACCTGAATGAATGAAATTCTGATAGTGCTACAAAATGCACAACACTTGAAGACATTCTATTAGGCCAGACATAAGCCAGACCCAAAAGGACAAATACTGTATGATTCTACTTATACAACACACTTCGAACAGAGGATTCTAAGGGAGGAAAAGTAGAACAGTGATTACGGGGAGGAGATGAGGTGCAAGGGATTGGGAGGCTACTGCTTAAAGGGTTTTAGTTTGGAATGATGAAAAGGTTGTGTTCTTAAAGGTATAAAATGTGAATGTACTCAATTGTACACCTGAAAATGGTGTAAAGATGGTGTAAATTTTGTAAGTATACTATACCATACATTTTTTAAAATTTGAAAACATACTTTACCTAATACTGGATTACTTTTAATTCTAATATTCTGCAATGTTGAAATCACTAAAAAACAATATAAATTACCTTACCTCAGCTACACAACAAATTGACCCCAGTGCTTCCCCACGAAAACCATAGGCTCTCAAGTTGCCAAGATCCTCATGACTGGTTATTTTGGAGGTGTAGTATTTCACGGCCATCACAGGGGCATCCACAGCCTTGATACCTTCACCATTGTCTCGGACCTCAATTTTATCAAATCCATAGTTCTCCTGTACAAAGTCAGAAGTGCTTTTACTACATAAAAATGGTAAACTATGATCACAGAAACAAAAACATAAATGAAACACTTTAGTCACTTGTTTCACGATGGAAGTCAGAATTCAAATTCTTGTAGTGCCAATTAATTCCTAGTCAAGGTACAATCAGCAAGTTCCTAGTTCTCCTTGGGCTCAGGTCAAAAGAAGGAAGTCAGTCTGATCTGAATAGGTTCTTTTAGTTGTTTCGCTATCAATTCTTCTGACACACACACACACACACACACACACACACACACACACACACACACACACACACACACACACACACACACACACACACACACACACACACACACACACACACACACACACACCTTGTATATATATATAGTCCCCCAAAGAAAATAAAACAACAACCTATCACTAGCAAACAGTGCCTCTTCTACCCACTAATAGTATAGCAGTCATCATTATTTACTTGGTTTTTAATATTTTCATTAAAATATTAAATTAGCCAGGCATGGTGCTGCATGCCTATGATCTCAGAACTCTGAGAGGATGAGGCAGGAGGATTGCCAAATTCAAGCCTAGCCTAGTCAACTTAGCAACTTAAAAAGACTCTGTCTAAAAAGAAAGTTTAAATACTTAGTTCATTATAATGTTCTAAATTTCTTTCAAATATCCCTACAGAAAACTGCTGAGAAAACACACCTACTTGGCAATCTCAGCAAGTTTTTAATTTGAAAATTAAGAAAACAGACTCAATTTATATCTTACACATCCTAATACTGAATCATACACACAATAACAAAATCTAAATTTCTATAATTCTAGGAATACAATATTCTAAAATTGGCAGCCAACTTCTGATGTCACAGTTTTGTGTATGGCTACAGGTACAATTACAAAGGAGAAAATAAATCTTTCTAGCATTATATTCAGTTTGTGTTATAAAACATTACATCTTTTTAATAACCTAGAATTACATAATACTGAATATGCATATTTTCAGATAAATTATATGCACAAGGCACTGGAGGGAGAACGTAAGATTTGCCCCCTCAGCTCTTACAGTAAAATTAAGTTGACATATGGGAAACAGCCTGTTTCATTTTATAGGAAAAAAAGAGAAATACAAATCTCATACATAAATTAAAAACTGCAGACATCTGAGTAAAATAACAAATCTTTCTGAATTTTTAAAATACTATCAACACATGTAATTATGACAGCATATGTTGTACAAAAACAGATCTTATCATATAAAGCAGCCCAGCTGAACTATTTGTGTAGTGTAGGAGATTAAACCCAAGATTTCACACCCACCTATATGCCCACCCCTTTTAAAATTTTTTATTTTGCAACAAGGTCTAAGTGGCCCAGACTGGGCTTGAACTTTTGATTTCCTGTCTAAACCTTCCACCTTGTTGGGACTGCAGGCCTCTGCCACCAAGCCCACCTTGAATTGTTTATTTTAAAATTCTTACAACATAGATATATCAAGAGACTAAAATATACAATAAAGTTATGTTCAATATACTTTTGTAGAGTATTTAGGTTGGCTTGTTAACATTATTTTAAATTATTTTCCTCCCAGAGATGTTTAAGAATAAGACATACGTTTTAAGAAACAATAAAGTAAAAATAAAGAACAAGACGCTTGTCTGCCTAAGATTCTTAAGTGAAGTCTGTCCAACACAATGAGATGATACTCTTTAATTATCAACTATGCTCTAATCAGACTGAACTAATTATAGGAGACATCTAAGAAAAATTGTCTTTCTTCAGATTTAACTTAATATATTTTTCTCATGTTTATAAACCTTACACTACTTAAAAACACAACCCAGGTTTGATATGAAGAGCAGAAGAGCAGCTCTCAAAGTGTGCTCCCCAGTATAACAGGTTCAGCATTGACTAGAAGCATATCAGAAATGCAAATTTCCAAGCCTCACCTAAAATCTGAAGTTTTATGATGGACCCTGGTAAAGGTCTAGCCTGTAAATTAATGCTGCACCTATACACTGTAAAAAACACTGCCTTACAGAAAAGATTTTGAATGGGTATTCAAGTCACAAAGACAGATTCTAATCTCAGCCCCACTATTTAATAATTATGTGATCTGGGACAATTTTTCAGAACGCTAAATGATTTGCAAAATTACTATTTATTAGTTGTTAACGTACAGTTTTTTTGTTTGGTTGGTTTTTTGTTTTGTTTTGTTTTGTTTTGTTTTGGTACTGGGGATCGAACTCTGGGTTTTGTGCTTGCAGGTGGTGGCAACACTGAGCTAAATCCTCGGCACAACATATAGTTTTTATAAATGGCTTACTTTAGCTATATCACAGAATCTAATCTGATAGGAAAAGGTTAGATCCCTTTCCTACAAAAATAGTATCAGCATTAGTCCCAATCACATAACATCAGAAAAATTATAAACACCTGATAATTAGATTGTTTTGGTTTTTGTGGGTAGTGACTGAACTGAGGGCCTTCCTGCTAAACTACAGCCCCATATCATTATTTTGGTGTTTCTTGTTTTTTGTTTTGAGGCAGAGCCTCAGTAAATTTCCCAGGCTGGGCTTAAACTTGTGATTCTCCTGCCTCTGCCTCTCAGAGTGTTGGGATTACAGACAAGTGTCACATAACCAAAATGATAATTAGACTTTAATAAGTGCATATATATTCTTACAGTCAATCAAATAGTCTCCTACCATTTACTAGGTACTGGCCAGATGTGAAGAATATACAAATAAATAAAATATTGAGCTTACCTCTACGAGCTTACAATTTATAACAGTGGAAATGGATATGCAAATTAATAGCAATAAATCATAATGAGCGTTGTAAGGCATATTAACTCCACGATTTAATATACAGCACTTAAAAATTTGAAAGCTGAGTAGTTCTGAAACAAGGCTACATAGGAAAAATAAACTGCAAAAAGGAATACATAAAAAAGTAAAAATTAAGAGCAAATACCACAAAATACATTAAACTGATGTTTTAAGTGATAAAGTTCTAAATTACATGTGTTCTTTTTACAATGTCCTTTAGTGTTACCAAACCATCAACTTAAAGTCTAGTTTTAAGAATTTGCTATTAAGGTTAAAAAGTCTAATGTCCTAAGAATGATTTACTAGTACACAGAAAGAGAATAAAGTTAGTAAAAGAAAAAAGAAAACATCTGTCAGGCCCCTTTTTTGCTTTAAAGACATTTGGCTAGCCAAGGACACGCACCAGTTTCACATCTATGCTTGTGGCACCAGCATCCAGGGAGTTTTCAACCAGTTCTTTTACAACACTGACCACAGAAGTGATTATTTGGGAACTTGAAAGGAGGCGAACTGTTGCTGCAGGCAACTGTTTCATTCTAGCTTTTAGCAGAGTATCTAAAAGATAAATACAAAATTTATAAAAGACTTTCATATTACACATTTCTAATAGTATAGGGAGCAATAATATTGACACAATATCAGTAATAGTAATAGCTCACATTTATTGAGCCTTACCGTATGCTAGGCTCTAGTTTAAGCATATACAGTATTATCTCCCGCCAGTACACTGAAGGAGGTGCTACTGTCACGTCTATTTTATATGTTTATTTGTTTTAGTACCTGAGATCCAGCTCAGGACCTTGCGCTTGCCAGGCAGGCAACAGAACCATTGAGCTAAATCCCTGACTATCATGTCTTTTTATGAGGACTAAAGAACCAAGGTCATCCAGTTACTAAGAGGCAGAACTAAGACTTAAATACAGTTAAGTCATTTAATACTTCCTCTATTTTATATGTAATATAATTACCCCTAATAAATAAAAATGATTAGAGCAGATACAAAAAAACCCACAGTAACATAAGAAAGCAGTTTTTCTAATTTCTGCCAGGGTTTTTGTATGACTGCTCTCTATAGTCTGACTTTTCAACTTAACTTCACTCTGGTATTTCCAACCTACATGCTGAGACCACCAGCTCAAACTGAAGGTATTCCAATCACAATAATCTTACTCAGAATCTAAACTGATCAACTCCTAAATCCCATCAACTCTTTCCTTGGTGTCTTACACATTTAGTCCTTCCTTTTTCTTGTGGGGAGGGACACTGAGAACCAGATCCAGGAACTTGGGCACACACTTCCTAAGCTACACTCCCAGCCCTAGATCTTCCTTTTTAATCACTCCTCCAGCACTAGTTCAAGCACCCAACACTCTACAATTTCCCAATTAGCCTCCATGACTCTGGACTGTTGGTCACTATGCCTCGTAGTTCAAATGACGATTACAACAAGAACAACTACTACCATTTATTCAATGCGCTTTATATATGGGATCACATGTAATCCTCTAAATAGTGAAAAGGAAATATTATGTAAAAGTTGTAATTATTATTATGATCATTTAAGAGGTATGAAAGAAATACAAAAGTTGTCGGGATCCAAACAGAGCTGTCTGTGTCAACTTACCAAAACAAGTAAATAAAACCAGGAGGTTATGAAGGGAAAAGTCCTACACATGATAGCTTTACAACTATCACAAAATACTCCCTGAAAACTACAAGCTTGCCTAGAGGACACTGCAATGTTACACAAAAAGCCCTTACAAGGACAATTGCCCAGCAGTTGTCTGTTCAACCCTGGCCTGACACCACTGTTGTTATTCACCATCATCATGGATTATTGTTTTAAAGTACATGATGTAACCCTCAATTTTGTCTTTAAAAACTTCCCCCTTAACTCTTTTGAATATACAGTTTTCTCTGGCATGTGTATCTACACTGCAATGCTCTGCAGTTCCCATAACAATGTTATTCCCAAATAAACATTATTCTGATGAGAATCACTCATTTTGTTCTTTTTCTTCAGTCAACAGAGGTCTAAAAAAAAATATGTGACTAACTCAGGTACTTGTACATTAGAGATTTTATCTTAAATGCCTTCCCTTAAATGTCCTGATGTAAACTCATGATAGATTATCGAGTAGATTGCTAAAAACACATAAATATTGGAATCGTGGAGATAAATGTGTTCTAACATGGTTTCTTAAAAAACAAAACATTGGGCTGGGATGTGCCTCAGTGGTAGAAAGTTTCCCAACTGTGTGCAAGGGTTCTATCTCCAGCGCCATTAAAAAAACTTTTATAAACAAACATTTATAGGGATGGGAGGGAGTTTGGGGGGAATGGGATAAAATGTATTCATAAAAACATTTAGTTAATAAATTACACTCTACTAGGAATCAAAGAATAAGAACAACTGTGCTACTACAATGAATGTAATGGATGATCTGCCTGGCTGGCAATGACCACACAGTGCTGCCACCTTGGGATGTGATCAGTCCTGTGACTTACAGCTTCACTTTAACACCAATAGTTACCCACAGGTTTTGAAGAGTCATGAAGTCTTTTTATATCACTGAGCTCTTTTGCAGTTAGGCTATTTAGCCTCTAGAGTTACTGTTAATCTAAACTAGTTAGATCCCAGGCATGTGAGATTAACTGCCCTCTACTTTACTCTGCTTAAAACCTCATTCTAATCATGTGGCTCCCCAAAGCTGAAAAGCTAAAGCTCAAATCTGTATGCTGACATTTGAGGTCCTTAATATGCTGATCCAATAAGAAAATGCAAATCTCTCTGCCAGTAACTGTTATAGCTATAGAAACCTTTGATCAAGCAATCAAAAACAAAACAAAAGCCAGGTATTTATCTCAGTGGCTCCGAGTTCAATGCTGGATAGCAAAAACAACAAAGTCTCCTCTGGAAATCCCACATTTAAAACATCCAGGGAGGGGGTTTTGCATGTACTGGAATGCCTAATTTTAGAAAAGATTTTAGGAAAACAAACACAAGCTCAACAACATGCAATTCCTAAAGAGTTAAGAGTTTCTTGGACCAAAGAATGGGGTGAGCCTTGGGGGAGTGGGCACCCTACCACTTCCTTAATTTAACATTAGTTACATGCTTGTATGATGATTTGATCCTGTGGAATATAGTTCCAAATAAAACAGCAGTGTGAAAACAAACTAAAGAGAGAGGTCAATTTAGGATTCTTTCTCAGGCAACATAAACAGAGTCACGTAAACAGTAACTGACAGCAAGAAATGGAGTACACAAGTTTAAGGGATGCATTTCTGGGAAGAGGCAACATACTGGCTTCTGAGAGTGGTAAATGGTCACAATTCACTATATATCTTGCTATACACAAGGCAAAGCTGGTTGGCACAACAGAAAACAAACCAGAGGCTAAGAAATAAGTCTTGGGGTTCATCTTTATTAAATGTAAACTGAAGTAAATCACTTAAATCCCTATGCAAAAACTATTCATCTTCGGCAAAAACAGATAATGCCTTACTGATTCACCGTAAGAATCACAGGAGAAAACTCATATATGTCATTCTGAAAATGGTAAAGACTTTTATAAATGTACAGTACTATGATGAAAGGTAATTATATAAAGGAACACTGGTAATTCTCTTTTGATACTAACAATTACCCTCTAAACCATCTGTATATTGGATTTAGTTCTGGCATACGTAGTTTCAAAGGGAGTAGCTGTAAATAACTCCTCCAGAGCTGGAAGCATCAGAGAAACAGTGGAGAGTCAGGCTCTTCACTCTCCTAACATTCACACGTATAGTACTGTCACTAACAAAAGGCGCCTTCATCCTTTGGAAGCTTCAGACTAGAACCTCAGGTCTAAGGGTGTAGCGCTCCTGAACTGTGTAATTTCATAGTCACTAGCCACACGCAGCTACTGCGCCCTTGAATGTGGCAGTCCAAACTGAGATGTGCTGGGCCGGGGACTGAGCTTAGTGGCACAGCACCTATCTGCCAAGCGTGAGGTCCCAGTTCTAACCCTGGTACCAAAAAACAAACCAAAATGAGATGTGCTAATACATGTATTTCAAATTCAGCATCAAATAAAATCAGATTAATTTCTTACATGAGTATAGGATAAAGTGCTATTTTTAGATATATTAAGCTACACTGCTATGTTTTATAACTAGATGTACCCCTAAAGCCTCATGAGCTCATAGGTGGGACTTTGTAATTGGATCACAGGGATGTGATACTCATTGTAGATTAGTCTACTGATGAGTTTATAGCTAAATGTGATATTGGGAGGTGAAGCCTGGCTGAAAGAGGTAGGTCACTGGGAGCACGGCCTGGAAGGGTCCCCCTCTGCTTCCTGCCTGACACGCCATGAGCTATTCTACTCTGCCATGCTGTCCTGGAGTAAAGCCAGCTGTCTATGGACTGAGACCTCTACAAACTGTGAGCCAAAATAAACTTCTACCTCCTTTAATTTGCAGGTGTCAGGTATTGTGTAGCAACAAATTAAATTCATTTTTTAACATGATTACAAAATTTCAGATGACGTGGCTTATGTTAGCCATATTTCTATTGGAATGCTAGACAAGAGTAGCAGTTAAAAAAGGCAGGTTCTGAACTTAACTACTTTGGTTTTATCCTAGATACTATGTTATACAACACTGAGGAAATTAAACTCTCTAAAACACAATCACCTAATGTATAAACGCTAAAAGACCCCAGGACTAAAGACTTGGACTAAATTGAGTTCATCCAAATTCTTTTTTTTTTTGGTACTGGGGATTGAACTCAGGTCCTTGTGCTTCAAGCTAAATCCTTGGCCCTGAGTTCATCTAAATTCTTAAATGAACAACCCATCTAGCTCAAGCCTCTACTCCTAAAGGGGCTTACCCACTAGGCTTGAGTTCAAGTACAGTATTCTACCGTAGTTTGAGGATACCAAGCATGTAAGAAAAATACTGATAAACCAAGTTCTGGGTTAAAACCTACTCTCATGTTAACCTTACTTTTCCGGGCAGTCTGCCTACTCTCATCACCTTTGACTCATTTCTACACTTATCCCAAAATCACCTTTTTCAAGTCCCTAATTTCATCCCAATCTTCCTCACATCGAGTTTACTGAGATTGTGGCATAGTATGAACTCTTTCACACCTTGCCTACCCCATTCCACCACATCTTCAGGTTTTATAAGATGTCTGCACCTCTCCCCATACTATTCTTCCTTTAGGGCCAGGTCAGTGTCTTTTCTCTCCTCGTGAAGTACTATGAATGCTTATGTCCCTCCAAAATTCATGCTGAACTCCTGAATGTACCAGTCCACAGGATTACTGAGCCGAAGTCATGAGGCTGAGGCCTTCACGACTGCCATCAAGGCCCTTGCTAAGGAAATCTGCCCTCCCCTCTTGTCACATTAAGGACACAAGGGGATGATGCCATCCATGAGCCAGCAATCAGGTCCTCACAGGACACTGAGTCTGCCTCGGCGCTGTTCTTCTAGCTGTCAGACCTATGAGAAATGTTTGTGGTTTACAGGCTACCCAGCATATGGTATTCTGTTAGAGCAGCACGAAAAGGCTAAGGCACTAACACTTTCAACTAATTACTGACACTTTCACCTCATTTCATTTTATGAGTTTCCCCACAAGCATTTTGCCCCTGAAAACAAAAATACAAAAATCCTTCCCTCAGCTTTATTATGCCAGCAATTACCTTCTTTCTTTTTTCTGTTGTTGTTATGTACTACCAGGGACTGAAAACAGGGTCTTTGCACTAAGCTACATCCTCCATCCTTTTTTTCTTTTCAGACAGGATCTCACCAAGTGGCTGAGGCTGGGCTTGAACTTGTGCTCCTCTTGCCCCAGCCTCTAAAGCGTTGGTATTACAGGCATTTGCCACTAAGGCCAACTTCACTTTTTTTATGAAGACAAAGTTAAGTAAATATCCCATACTGATTGTCATTAAATCTCTATCACTAACTTATTTTTATAACCTTATCAAATGGCTACCACTTTAACCATTTCAAGTGCACTGATGATCTCTAGTCATTAAATCCTTTCTTCAGTACTCATGCTCCTTGACCTCCTTGAAACGTGATGCTAATATTACCTAATTCTCAACAGTATTCCCATCTATACTTCCTCAACCACTTTGTAGTCTTCACTTTCTTCCCAGAAATGTGAGCACTCCCCACCCTTTCCCTCTCCTCGGGCATCTTCACACCCAACCAAAATGTATATTCCTAAAAGTGATGTCTCTCTTTCTAAGTGAAGACAGATATCTGTAACCAGTGCCACTGCTACCCAAATCAATATTTGCGAAACAGAACTCGTCATGAGGCCTTCCCCCACATCCACTTAACTTTGCTATTTCTCTTACTGTTGTTAGTCAGCAAGGTTAAAAACTTTCATTCCTCTGTCAGCCATCTACATATTTGTACTCCACACTTCCTAATGCAATGCCACATGTCACTCTGGACCTGGTTCCAGTATTAATTGCAACACAGTCCTTTCTGATCACCCAGTTGGAATAATCTTTCCTTCTCCCTAAACTCAAGTGTTTGATTTGCATTCATGGGATGCTTATCACATACCAGTCCTGAGTGTGTAACTTCGGAGGGCAAGGAATTATGCAGTATGTATCTCCACAGAGAACAGTCACAGCACTTCCCTCACCTTGAGCACTTCATAAATACCAAATGAAGGGCCAGTAAAAATAATATTATCAACATATTTCTTGTGCCAATGTAAACATTAAAGTGTGTCCTCCTTTCCAGCAAGTCACCATTGTGGTGACTCCTTCCCTTTATCTTCTAATTTTAAACTTGTTTCCATTCATTCCTAGACCAAAAGTACCTCCTAACAACTTTTTTTCCAGGTTCCAGGGCGTTCTTCATCTACCTGGAGGCAACCTGAACTTAGATGTTTTCCAAACTGACTTCAGAATCTTTCTCCTACGTTTCTTGGTAATAAAAATAGCAGCTAAGATAAAAATTTTATACACTTTATTGCTTTTAATCTTCACAACACTCCCATGCATACTATCATTCCTCTATTTCAAATGGGATTTAAAGGCTTGATGATCTTTCTCAAGATTAGACACCATTATATCGTAGATGTACAATACACTCTTGCACGTATGACTACAGAGGCTGTACCCCTAAACATTTTCTAGGCACTCAAAGCAAACCCTGTATCATAGAAATTGTCAACTTCTACATCCTAGTCTTTTCTACCCTACTTCTAAATACGTCTCAAACCAATTCTCTACTCTCAGTACGGCCGCTGTTCAGCCTCTTAAAATTTCTCCTCTGAACTGCAGCAACAGCTGGCTAATTAATGTTTTTACTCCAATCTAAACCACCTATACAACAGTTTCTAAAATTTCATCCTACTGCTATCCCACTTAAATTTTTTATAAGGTTTCCAACAGCTAACTAGGTCAAGTTCAAACTCCTTAACAAGTGGATCTCTACCTACTTTAGTAATTTCCTACCACCACACCCCTTGGCTCACAGCATTCCCTTCTAGGCTGACTTCTGACATTCCCTCCAAATTTCGTTTCAGTATCACTTCCTCAAAGACTTTCTTCCCTGTTAAAATCCCCTCACCTCCCTTCCCACACACACTTCACATCCCTAACAGAATTAGGCATTCCATTCCTTGCACTCTTGCAGCACCTTTTCCTAATTTTCAATCCGAACTAATCACAGGTCATTCTATTTTCCTTCTCTCCTGCTTCAGGGTCCTCTGAGGACAAATATTTTATATTAAACCACACACAGTAGCTCTAGAATGTACCATTCTATTACATGTCTAACAAAAGATTCTTGAAAAACAGAGGGTTGATGCCAGCCTCACAAGTTCACAGAACAGGATGTCTGAGAAATGTTGGGATAGTCATTCTTCCACGTCTGCTGAGAGGTTAAGTGGAACACTCCAGAGTATGCTAATGACCAGCAATGTCATTTAAGGACACCAGGTGTACCTAAAAAAAGAAGTAGGAATTAGAGAACTCAGATTTTTTCTAGGGAAAACACAAGCAGTACTAATTTAAAGTGCAGAGTAAATCTAACCCAACAGAAACGTTAGATAGTTACACCTATAGTGCTAACATTCTTTTAAATCAACTTTTGAAATGTTTTGGCTAGTTCAGGAAAAAAAAAAAGTATTTCTAAGGTAAAGGCAATTTGATTTCAAACATGATTGCAAAAAATCTAAGCAGGTCTTTTCCTCTTTGATATCCACGTGTTCTCAGGATGTACTGGTGCCTGTACCCGGGCAGGGGGATAAACGCAGAATGACACCTGCAAAGGCAGTGACTGCAGGATCAGTCTATTGGTACCAGCTGCAGGTCACAGCACACTACATTACGACAACGCCATGCTCACTCCCAAATCAAGTTACGGTTGTTGCGATTAAATTTTCTGCCAGGAAGACAACTCTCTTTTAAGACTTGCGCCAGAAAAGACTGAGAAATGGGCTGCAACAAAAGCCAAAGCAGGCCTCTGCGGGCGCAGCCCCTCGGCCCCCGCTCCATCTGTGCGCGCTCGCGAGCTGAGCTGCCAGCTTCCCGCCCCGGGGAAGGAGGTGCCCATTGCGCCGCGGGCCGGGCCCCAGCAGGCGGGAGTGGAGGAGGAGCGCCACCCTCCAACTAAGAACAGAGGAAGAACGGACGCCTTGCAACCACACGACAATACCTTCCAGCTCGTACGAGGCAGGTAACTAGCATCCACCAGCGAGGACCCAACAGCCAGCCTCCCAACCAAACCCAAGCCCCGGCTCCGGCTCCGGCTCCGCGCGACGCCCCCACTGGGCACACTGCGCGTGTGCGAAGAGGCGGGCACCCGTCGTGCTCCGTAGTCCCGCCCCTCAGGGAGAGGCGAGATTGACGCGGCTAGTAGCCAATCCGCTGGCAGGAGGCCGG